GTTTTATTCGTTCAAAGTGAATTTCTGTTTTCTAATTTTCTGTAGGTGCTATAAGAGCGACCTTCATCCACCCAGCGACGGAAAAGCACGTCGCGAAGTATACCCGACAAGAGGGTTTTTTATTCGTGGAAACACCTGAAATTTACGAAAAAATCGTTGTCCCGTATATAAATCGTTCGAAATTCAGCCTTCAGGCGAGTGTTGAAATTTTTTTTTTTTCATCTAGACATCTTCCAATACTCAGAAAACCAATATTTTAGCGTCTATGTCTCGTCCTGAATCGTATGGGCAACTTGTTCAAAAAACCGTCGAATAAGTTCATTCAATTATCGCTCGAATAATTTCGGAATTCATAACTGAATTCCATACTGAAGTATTGACTACCCGTTCCACGTCTTCTCATCTTTGATATACAGTAGAAAATTTACTTGACGAAATCCGAATTCAAATTGCCCGTGTTATTATTGAAAATATGTCAACCTGATCAACGCCATTATGCAGTTATCGGCATGATTGAATGGCACGGGAAATGAACGATTGAAACTAACTTGAACCCGTGATATTAGAGATCACGGGAAAAAATAATCGTTGGATTTTCATATCTAGTTTTTCATGGTTCTTCAGCCGTAAAAAATTATGAAGCTGTTTTATTTCGTTTTTCTCCTTCTTGCTTGTCTTACAGTGGGTGTACAACATCCTGGAAGGGAAATCGGAAGCAGAAAGAGTTTGCTTCCGGGATGATCATCCCGAAGATGGCTTTATTATGGCTCCCGACTTGAAGTGGAATGGGGATAATGTGGAAGAGCTTTATTTGTTGGCGATCGTGAATCGTCACGGAATCAAGTCTATAAGAGATCTCACAGGGGAACACATTCCCCTTTTGGAAAACATTTTGAAGAAAGGAACCGTGAGTTTTGTATTTTCTGCGTATTGTTTTTGTTCTTCTAATCATTGCGGAATTTTAATTCGCTTTTCAAGGAAACAATCAAGGAAAAATATGGAGTTCCATCATCTAAGCTGAAAATATTTGTTCATTATCATCCATCGTACAATCACTTTCATGTGCATTTCTTGCATTTGAACGTTGAAGGCTTTGGTGAGTTGAATGAAGTTCATGTTTTCCACTCATAAAGTTAACTGTGGTTCAGACCGGATTTCGGTGATCGATAATGCTCAGTTTTGCATTCTGAAGTGTCAGGAAAATTATGCTTATATCTCGTAATGGTACAAGATAATTAGATTCAATCCGAAGTGTTGTATAGTGAAATATATTAAATTTACTAAGATTCAGGCGACACGTTTGGGAAAGTAAAGAAAAAGCACATATCCGTAAATTCAGATTTCAGGTGAATGAACTGCGGTGTGTTGACAGATAGGGATTTCTGGAATTTTTGCTCCAAGCTTTTACATGCTCTGGGTTTTCAACTTTTTCCAGGAAGTGGCATCGAAAAGGGCCATTTGCTGACGACTGTGATTTCAAACCTCAAAATTGATCCGAATTATTACAAGAAATCAGATTTGACGGTAATTCTGCGTGCGGAGGATCCGCTAAAGAAGCTGATCGAAGTTGCCGGTTAGTGGAAATATTTTTTCGAGAATTATAATTTCTTTAATCATGTGTTCGTTCTCATTTTTCAGGAGCTTTGGACATTTGATCCGATGAATGTTCGCTTCTTTTTTTTCTTTTTTTAAGCGCGACAATTGTTGGTACTTCCTGTGTTACGAATGTGAAAGTCCATTGAAAAAGACGTCTTCACAATTCATTAATGTTTCGCAAAGATTTGCGACCCAATTGGATTACGAAGAAGGTTAATTTTCTTCAGGGAATCCAAGTAGTTTTCAGCATTTGATGAATGCACCAGCAAGTAAACTTGCAGTAATTTGTAGGTCATATTTGTGACCTTCCCCAAAGAAGTCGGGAATTTATTAAGGTAATATTGTAACTCCTGTCCATCTTTTCGAAAGATTTCATGGTTCCCCTGAAGGAAATTATTACTGTTTTTAATTTTCACTTAATTTTGTTTTCTTCCAAGTTTCAGGGAAGTATGATACTGTACGGAAAACCGGTAGCAAACGTTTTGAGTTCTTGGTGAGTCGAACTCCCTGTTTCAATATCCCTAGAATGCTTCAGTGATGATATTTCAGTTCTTGAGCATTTCGCGGGTCAGTGATGACTAAATTCGAAAAGTTTCCTGAATTTTGATGAGAACCCCATTCCTCGTTTAGATTTTCATTATTTCTTTTGAGAATGTTTTATTTCGTTTTTCAGGGTGGATTTGCTTGTGATTCGTAGCTTGACGCCTTGATGAAAGGTAAGAACACGCGTTTCATTTTTAGAATGATGATTTGAAATTTTGAAGTGATGACTTTTCCATGCTAATACTGAACTGGTCGCTGGATGAGCTGTTGAAATATTTCGCGCTTTTTCCGCCCTAAAATGAGTGCAAATCCGTTCTCAAATCCTGAAATAAAATATACTTCATCGTCAGAGATGCCATTTCGAAGTCGTATCAACGAAATTGTTCCGTTTTTTCTTCCAGATCATGTTGAGGACGTGGTTTTCACTGTGTTCTTGAATCTTTCACCTGATTGAAGGTGAGAAGGAATTGATTGTTCAAAGAGAAGATCAATGTAGATGTGATGAATTTTCCATGCTAATACCGAACTGGTCGCTGGATGAGCTGTTGAAATATTTCGCGCTTTTTCCGCCCTGAAATGAGTGCAAAACTGTTCTCAAACCTGAATAACTAGTCTGATCCCACTGCTTTCTTTCTGTGCGAAAATCTTCATGAAGTTCTAAGGAACTTGTTTTTGTTACAGATCACGAGGATGATATGGTTGTCGCAGTTTCCTGATTTTCGGCTGAAGCGAAGGTGAGAATTTCTTCCCGTTTCGCGTAATCATAACTTCACTTGATGAATTTTCCATGCTAATACTGAACTGGTCGCTGGATGAGCTGTTGAAATATTTCGCGCTTTTTCCGCCCTAAAATGAGTGCAAACCTGTTCTCGAAACCTGAAAAACTGGCTTTTATCTCTTGAGATTATGTTGTTGAATTCAATCAACCTAATGTGAGGTTCCTTTTTTCTGTTTCAGATCACTGGAAGAGCTTGACTCCACTCCAGAACATCGGATTCGTTCTTGTTATCATGCTTTTTCAACTCCTGATAATATTGTTCTATGTGCACTTCGGCCTTGATCGACAGGTGTCGCCTGAATCACTTGAATAATTCTGCCGTACATGTAGTACAATACTGTATCTCAATGTGCATGGGGTTAAGGTCGTGGTCAATCCTCGAATACATTCAATTGAAAATTTCTGTTGGGAACAATTACTTCACCTTCATCGGCAAAAGTCTTGAACCTGACGTTGAAATGT